ATTTACCTCAAGTAGATACACTCCTTGGAGAGAACAATCATGGGAGAAAGAAGGGCTGCTTATGCACAGGGAGACAGCTCAGGGGGCAGTAGTGCGTGGAGGCATGGACACTAGGAAGAACTAACTATGGGGAGGAAGTGGGAGGGGAGCTGTTGCACTGTGGTAAACTGTGGTCAATATCATGAGACAAAATGTATGTGAATTGCTGTATGGAAAGGGAATTTGCTCTGTAAATCTTCACCCAAATCACAATAAAAAAATATATACAAAATACACACACACACACACACACACACATATCCTTTAGCCTGTTAAAAGGAAATCACATTTTAGGTACATCAGAGCACATGGCTCAGGAGTCGCTCAAACAGACATCTAAGTCTCCTTTTTGTCAGCTATCTCTTTTCCACCACTTATCCTAAATATTACTTTTTGTAATCAGAAAAGGGCAGAACAGTGAAATAAAGTACAAGAAAAAGGGTTAATTAAGTGAATTATCATAAATTAAGCTCAATTAAATAAACCTCATTTCCCATCTATATAATAAAGGGCCTTACCATAATGCAGTCATTTAATAGATGCTAAAATAAAACTAAGAAAAATAATTACTGAAGTTATCTTACCAACACTAAAAGAAGAACAAAGCATTTGAACTCCTGGCCTAGGCTTTTCAGTGAACTTCAGGGGACGTGGACTGTAAAAAGAAGAAAATAATGACGAACATGCAATAGTTTGATATATCAACACAATTTAAATATCTGTTTTAATCCACCATAATTAAATATAATAACTTTTATATAGTGTTTAAGTAATGACACTATGCTTTTACAGCAGAATGGTTTTTAGGAAACCATGTCCAATTTCCATCTTCATACCAATTCTACTACACGGAAAGTGTAGTAGAATTATTAACTCCTTTGTGAAGTGTGGTGACTAAAGCTCAGAAAATCTAAGTGAACCAATCGTAGAGGCTGAAAAGCAGAGTACAGAACCACAATGCTGTTCAGCAGAGGTGTAATACGAGCCACATATGTACCTTCTAATCTTCTAGTAGTGGAATTAAAAAGTACACATTATAAAATTTATTTTAACTCAATATATCCAAATTATCATCATGTACTCAGTATTAATGAAAATTTACTAAGATACTACACATTGTTTTTTAATGCTAAATCTTCAAAAATCAGTGTCTGTTTGGTAGTTATAATGTTCAAATCTTAATTTGAACATTAAATTTTCATTAACAATACCTAAATAGTACTCAGTTTTCATAAAATTTACTAAAAAGTGAATTCAAAACTAAAGATATTCTAAACATACTTCAAATGTTCTAGTAACTGTATCAAGTACCAGTTTTTGAATTTAAATTAGCAATTCAGTTCCTCAGTTGCAGTAATCACGTTTGAAGTGCTCAATAGTCCCATACGGCTAGTGGTTATTATACTGGACAGGATAAACCTATAAACCAGATCTTCTAATGCTTAAATAATCCAGCCTCAATTTCTAATTATATCCGTAACTGTACATTTATAAGTTTTCAAAATGGTTCACATATACACTATCTCACTTTGTTTTCACAAAACTGTATCCCCAAGATAGAACAGCTATGCTTCTTTCACATATCCAGCTGTCTAAACAGTACACTGTAAATATTCAATAGTCAATACAGCAACCACGATACATAATTGCTCTTTAAAATCTAACTTAATTTCATTACACTAAATGACAGTTACCAGTATTAAAGAAGAGTATGTGTCGACTGAAGTCACTTACTTGAATTTCAAAGATTCTAAATCCCACTGCCAAAAGCAAACCGTCCCATCAGCACCAGTAGAGACCATGTATCTTTGAGAGCCTTTGGCCATTGGGCTAAACTAAAAAACAATTAATATAAACAACTTAGCTTTTAGAGAAGCTACTGAAGTTGCACTTTTTAACAATTTTTCAAAAATTAACTTAAAATGACTAAGTAAAACACAGGGACTCCAAATTATAGATGATACGTCTATAGTAAAAAAAACTATCACCTGTAAAAAAGGAAGCCATTCTTATATTAATTTATAAAAATGTAATGAGATCTCAGTAAGATTTCAAAGTTAGTGAACAAGAACATCAATAAGAACTTTGAAAAACAGAAACAATGAAGAACTAGTTTTATCTGCTACTAAAGCATATGACTAAGCCACAGTAATTAAAACCATGAAGTAGAATAGATACAGAATGACTAACAGAAAAACATAAACCAAAAAAAATGGACCCTAACACAAGACTTACATAAGATAAAAGTACTGGCTCAAATCAGTGGATGAAATCAATGAACCCAATAGTATTGTGACCAGTATGCAGAAATCTGGGCAAAAATAAAGCAGGATCCATTTTTCAAATTGTACACGAAGATAAATCCATAAGGAACAATGATTTAATTAAATAATTTAAAATTTACTTCAGACATTAAAAACTAAACCTTAAAAGTACTAAGTCGGGGCCGACTCGATGGCAAACAACAACAATAAAAGTACTGTAAGAAAACATGAGAATTAACTTCATAATTGGCTTATAATTTTTATTTAGACCTGAACTGACATTTCACCAGAGGATATACAGTCAACCAACACAGAAAAGGTGCTCATTCGCTATTAGAAAGAAGCAAATCAAAACCACAATGAGATTATCATTTCACTTTCACTAGGACTGCTAAGATCAAAAAAGCAGAATGCTGGTGAAACTGAGAAAATTAGAACCCTTATGGTACAGCTGCTATGGAAACAGTTTGGCAGTCCCTCAATGAGTTACACATAATGGAATCACTGAATAATTTGTAAAAAGCAAAGAAACTAAACAAACGTGTTTTTTTTTAATTATAACATGTTACAGATCAAATATATATATTAAAATATACTTCTTTGTTGTAGCATTTGTTTTCTGATCATTAAAATTTTTTCATGGTGTGGGGAGGAATTACATAAAGCCACCATATAATCCAGCAATTTCATTCCCAGGTATATATACATACTCAAGAGACCTGAAAGCACAGGCACATGTTCACTGCAGCCAATAGCCACAATAGCCAAAAAGTGAAAACAATCCAAATGTCTATCAAAAGATGAATGTATAAAAATGTGGTATATACTTACAATGTAATATTATCCAACATAAGAAAAACAAAGTCCTGATACATGCTACAACATGGAGGTACTCTGTAAACATTATGCTAAATCAATCACAAAAGGAAAAATACTGTATAATCTTAATCTTAGGTGCCATGGAGTGGACCCTAAAATTCAGAGTAACCTCAAGCACAACAGACAAAAACAGTCCTGCATCATCTTCACATCACTGCTATGTTTGAATCCAATGTCACAGCCACTATCAATTCATGTCATAGAGGATCTTCCTCTTTTTTCACAGACCCTCTACATCAAGTATAATGTTCTTCTCGAGGGACTGTCTCTCCTGACAATATGTCCAAAATATGTGAGTCAATACCATAATTCAAAAGGCATCAATTCTTCCTTCAGTCTTCCTTATTCCTTATCCAGCTTTTGCATATAGGGGGCAGGGAGGAACGACTTACTGCCACTGAGTCAGTTCTGACTCATAGTGACCCTTCCTTGGGTTTCTGAGGCATTATCTCTACAGAAGTAGATTGCCCGGTCTTCCTTCTGAGGAGTGGCTGGTGGGTTTGAACTGCCAGTCTTGTGGTTAGCAGTCACATACCTTAGGCACTATGCCAATATGAGACAATATGAGAAATTTAATATTAATATTTAATTTACTGTTAATAAAATTATCTAATACAAAATCTGTATTTAAATTTCCCCAATTTTTCAAACATCCTTTATGGATGGTTTTGTCCCCTAAAGTCAGAATCCAAATCAAGGCTCATGCATTACCTATACAGCTGTCACATTTCCTTATATACTAGTTCTTCCATTGAGCAAGCCTACCTTTATTGGCACCAGAGCAGTAAATTACTGCTGAGTTATAAATTACCCCAAAAAACCCAGCTATCAAAAACACTTATTATCAGCAAACTTCCAGTAACATGGCAGAATAGGCAGACCAGTTACACAGACCCTCTTCAACAAAGAAAAGAGAAACCAACTGACACAGATAAAGAAGATAATCCTGGAGCCCTGAACTTGGAAAGGATGAATACAGAAGTGGCTCAAACACCAACTACGAGAAGAACCTGAATAAAAACAGCGAATAAGGAGACAAACGGAGCTGCAGAATGTCAGCTATCCTGACAGTACAAACAGTTTGAATATTTCCAAGTGGTGCTAGGGCCTGAGAATTAACCAAAATATTGGCCCTGCTTGCAAGGGGCTCCATGGATGACTGCACTAGAGGCTTATGACTCAAAAGGGAAGCAGCAAAGAAGGCAACAAACTAAGCTGCGGACTTTCAGCTGTCTGGAGGGTACCACATTTTTAATGTTTACAAGTAACAGCCATTTTGGATATTTAAAAGGACAGTGGTCTCATTTAGATTCCAGGGACCTAAGAACAGGCTCTGCTTGTTGATGACAACATGGACATATTGGAGAATGACAACTGGAAAGGTTCTAGTTTTGGGTTTTTTTCCTCCTTTTCCCTTTTCCTGGTTCCCATTTTTTTTCTTTCTTCTTGTTATTTCCCTTCCTTGTTCATCTTTTTGCATTTTCCCTTCATTATTCTCTTGCTCTAGCTTTTTTCTCTTATTCCCCCCATCCAGATATTATGGTGTTTTTTTTTTTTTTTCCATCGTTCCCTATTTATATTCTTTTTCTATTTTTGAAGTACTTCTTTAAATATATTGTACCATTTATTCCCTTTCCTCATTTTTTTTCTTTTTTCTTTTCTCTTTTTCGTGATTGTTCCTGAGTGTTCATGCAGTGTGTTTTCTGTCCTCATTTTTACTTTTCTGGTATTTTTGTTTGTTTGTTTTTGTCTAACTGACTGGAAGATAGCAACTGTGCCCATACAACCAACCATACCCACACCTCCTGAAGCACCATCTACTGATTGAGGGCCACCACTAGCTTTTGCACCAAGTGACCAACAATACACAACAGTCAATATGATCCTGACTCACCCTTAACTGTTCTTTAGAAATAGCTAGCAGAGATCTGTGGAGCCACTCTCATTCTCTACAACACCCACCAGGAGACAGGTGCTGGGTGCTAAGTGCTACCAACATGTGAATAAAGGAGCACAGCACCTTGCTTATTCAGACACATCCAAAAAAAAAAAAAAAAAGAAAAGAAAAAGAAAATATTGGGCAAATCACTCCAACATACAATCACCAATTAAATATAAATACAATAGTGTCACAAAGTCTTGGAAACAACACATCATTACAGTCCACACAAAGAAGCAATATAAAGCAGTAGAAACAAGTGACCAGGATACAAACCCAGAACACTTCTTTCCAGAGGAAGAAGCAGTATTGCAACTCTCTGATAAGGAATTCAAAAGAATTATATTTAGGTACCTTCAAGGGACTGACAGATCAAGGAAAAAAACATTGATAAAATTAAGGAAAACACAGACAAAACCCTACAACAATTTCAAAAGACAATACAAGAAAAAAGGACAAAATAAATTAAAAATAAGAAATGATACAAAATCTATAGACAGAAATCCAGAAGAATAACCCTATATTTTCAGAAATAGGTAACACACTGAAAGGGCAAAGGAGTAGAACTGAATCAATACACAACAGAATTAGTAAGGCTGAAGATAAGTCACTCAATACTTCTTTGGAAAGAGATCAATCAGAAAAAAAGATCAGAACAAAATGAAGAAAGCCTAACGTTCACATGCAATAGCATCAAAAGGAATAACCTACGTGTAATCGGAATTCCAGAAGAGGAAGACACAAATAAAACCAGAAAAAGTCAGTGATTTGTCGGAAGAGAAAGGCACACCTATTACAAAAAGAGAAGCAGAAAAAACCCTACAGTCACCAGAATAAAAGAAACAGTAAAGATTTAAGCAGAAATAAATAAAACAGAAAATAAAAAGACAGCAGGAAAAAAAATCAACAAGACTAGGTTTTTTGAAAAGATTTAAAAAACTGACAAACTACTGGGAAATTTCACAAAGGAAAAAAAGGACAGAATACAAATAAAACAACAAAGAAAGAAACTGGGCAATGTCACAACAGAACCAACTGAAATAAAAAGCGTTATATCAGAATACTATGAAGAACTATACTCCAACAAATTTGAAAATCTAGAGGAAATGGACAGATTTCTAGAAACATGCTACTTACCTAAACTAACACAGACTGAGGTGGAAAATTTGAACAGACCCTTAACAAAAGAAATTGAGTAGGCAATAAAAAAAATTACCAACAAAAAATACCCCTGGCCCAGATAGGTTCCCTGGACAATTGCACCAAACATTCAGAGAAGAACTAACACCTATGTTCCTATTCCAGAACGTAAGAAAGGATGGAATCCTCCCAAATTCATTTTAGGACGCAAACATAACCTTGATACCAAAACCAGGCAAAAGCATCACCAAAAAGGAAAACTACAGACCAATATCCCTCATAAATACAGATGCAAAAATCTTCAACAAAATCCCAGCCAACAGACTCCAACAACATATCAAAAAAAATACTACATTACAACCAAGTGGGGTTCATACCAGGTATGCAAGGATGATTCAATGTTAGAATAACAATCAATGTCATCCACCACATAAATAAAACAAAAGAAAAAAACCACATGACCATACCAATAGACGCAGAAAAGGCATTGGATAATATCCAACACCCATTTGTGACAAAAATTCAGCAAAGAAATAGAAAGGACATTCCTCAACAAAATAAAAGTTTTGCATATATGCCCAACAGTCAATATTACTCTCAATGGACAGAAACT